CCCGGGAGCCGCGGCAGGGCCCGGCCGCCCCTGTGCGTGAGGCCGCGTGGCGCGGCGCTGCCCGCACAGCCCGGCGGGGCGGGGGCCGCCTCAGCGCCCCCGGAATAACCACCGGCACCTGCAGGACGGGGCCGCCTGCCAGACTCGTGGCGTTGTTGATGGAAAGTGTCTCCAGGGTGAACATGAAACGTTCAGGGCTGTGTTCACGCTGGTGAATGCGCACTTTAAGCCGCACTCTAAAGTCTGCTCCTGTTTGACTGCAGACAGGTAGCCTAGTGCAGTTTCTGTCTGTGATATTTAATGCAATTTCTGTTCATGATTTAGCATTATACATTTTTATGCTTCTGTGGGGAAATATCCCCATCTGTGGTGTTGCAGATAATAATAAATTCMTTTAGATTATTTATACCTTTGCATGAAGAAGATGGTGCAAGTCAAGTTTTTTATAGTGAAATGTGTATAATTCAAATTTTAGTTTCCTCTCTTACAAACAAATTTGCTGCGTGGATTTGTACAGCACATCTGATATGCCTTATGTATGTGACAAAAAAAAGATTTTTAACTTGCACAAATCATTTGTGTTGTCACTCCTTTAGTGTGTATGTATAAGAGTGTCCTGACACTGAGTGGTTGATAAGATAGTGAGGGAAAAGTACAAGAAATAGAACTGTGGCTTGAACCTTTTTCCAGTTCTAAAGGATATTGCCTGTAATTCTTCTATTGTTTATTTCGCTCATGTATATTATTGAAGTTGGTGAAAATACTGCCTTCCACTTTTTGACAGTACAAATGAGCAAGTTTTGTTCCATTTAGCTATAACGTAATAGCTGTAAATTCTGTAATAAGCATGTTCTTTGACAGGCTGGACTTCGTGCTGGAGATTGGCTAGATGGCAAGTCCTCTTAGAGCTTTTTTGGACTTAGTTCCCTTTTCGTGGTCTGGGGTGGAGGGAGTAGAAACCAAACCAAACTGAAAATATCCATGTAGTTGTTATTTTGTGTGCAGAGAGTGGCAAAGTGTGAGAGTAGCTGTTGGTGCTGCTGTATAGAGCAGACAGTRTACAAGCATTGTCTGATGTCTCCATAAATACTATCAGCTGCTCTTTTGGGACAAAAATTACTCTATTGAACAATTAGTTAGGCTTGTTATTTTGGTAGTTTAAACTTGACATGCCAACTTCTCTGTTCAGTATGTTTAAAGGTGTTCTGGTCTTTACTATGTATATGCTTCTGATACACTGCTGTATAGTTTTTTTATTTAAATAATAAATTAGGCCCTATCTGTCACTTCTTTTTTTTTGGGAATTGGAAAATTCAGAGCCAGTGCCCCACTAGCTCTTCTCTGTATCTAAAAGTGATTAAAAGGCGGAACACAAATGAGTGAAATGTTGTCTCATTTCTTGGAAAGCAATGTGAAACCCTACCACAGAAGCAAAACAGCAAAGTAAGTATATAGTTTGTCTAGATTTCATTACCCGGAAAAGTAATTAAAGTGGCTTTTTAAAATTTCAAATTCAAATGGTGTGAACTTGGACATCAGTTGTATATGCATGAATTTCATTTGTTCAGCTTGAGTTTAATGGAGGACGTTAGGTTCATATGAAATACTCTATTTGTTTTTTAAAAGCCTTAGTGTCTTATGTAGCCAAATTATATTTAAGACACTGCCTTAAAAAACCAATATGGGAATTATGTTTTGCTTTAAAACGTAGTATATAGCTTTGGAAAATTGTTAGTGTTACTATACATTTACCAAAGCAAGCTAAAATGTGAGTGGGGAAAGGGGAGCATGTAATTCAAGCAAAGTAATTCTACAAGTTTTTTATACCACTGCAGTTGTCTGTATTGGGAAATTATATGCATATAAAGAAGTCTGACAAAAATATGCTTAGCTGCTGTTACTGTCCCAGTGTATGTTTTCCACACAGGTCTTGACTGAGTGAATCTTCTGTTTGGATACACATATTTGTGTCAGGATTTATTCTGAAGATGTTACTACTGGAAAATCYCACAGCATTAATAATTCTGCTGTTTCAGTGAGAATTGTATGTCTCAATTCTAAATTTCTTCAAAACCAAAATATTTTAGATGTTTGTATCAGTTTAGAAAATCTGTTTTAATAAGTTGATGTCAAATTGCAAAGCACAAAACTCTTCAGAAAACTAAAATTGCAAGGCAACTGGGGTGGCATAGAAGTTTGTATTCTTGCTCCCAGTTTTCACTCGTGTACTATGGATAAAACCTGCAATGCTGTAGATAGAAGAGGAATACATACTTTGTGAGAGTTTTTTTTTCTGCATGGATGTTTTGTCTGTGTGCTTACAGTGATGGGACTGAGTAGAGCTAAGAAACTACCTTGGGGGGCTGAAACACTGGAACAAGTATTGGTGCTCATCTGCCAGCTGGTCACACTTTATATCTATGCACTTAGATATAAAGGCTGGCAAGACTGAATTAGTTTTACTTCCCTGATTTGCCTTGCCTTTGTCATAGACTTAGAAGAGGTACTGTGGTTTAGCTGCAATCCAGTACCTTTTACTTCTTGCATTTGTGTATGTGCCCTCGCTAGAAGTGGAGTTATCATTATTTACTATGATGGTTGATGTCAGTCATTAAGAGCAGAAAGATTAATCATATGGGCCTTATCTGAGGTGTAGAGGTGGCAGCAGCTGAAGGGGAAAAACTCAAGAAACTTATGGATGAAAAAGTACTGCTTCAAACAGCTCTGCAAAGCAAACTCCAGCTTGCTGTTTGGCACAAGAGACAAATTTTGCACTTACCACTTAGAGGGTTCCTGTTTGATACCAGTAAGAAAAGCTTGCTGGACTTCCATTCAGAAATACACAGTGGATATTTGTTTAAATTGGGAGAATCTACTTTAAATGCTAAGGGGCTGGCTGCAAAAGACCAGATTTTGCTGTTATTTCAGTGCAGGTCAGTGGGTAATAAAATTTAGAAACCTGTTATAAATTGTAACTGCTCTCAGAAGATGTTCTTGGAGGATTTCTCTCCAGTGCTGGGTGTTTACTTACTGACTGGATGCTATAAATGGGCAGACTTGAAAAAGGAAGAGTGAGGGAAGAAACCCCACACCTACACTAACATTGAACTAAGCAATGGGATTTGAAACAAGATAAGGAAAGCTCTTTCAGAACTGAACTAGGATATAAAAAAAAAATATGTATTATTATGGAAGTTATTTGCATGAGGTTGTTACATTCCTGCTGATTTTTACCTGTGCTTTTAATAATTCAGTGATCCATATGATACAATTTAATGGTTTCCATATGAACTTCTGATTCAGAATGCAAGAAGATACAARGTACTAGCCAGGCAGTGCAGAAGTTATTTATTTCCAAATGCTGGTTTTCTGAACTGTTAGWACTCTAGGTGAGAGGAGGGGAGAAAGCAAATAGCTTTTAAGCTGAGTTTGATACTGAAACTTAACATCAAATTGGTATATGTCAATAAGAAAGTCATGCTGCCAGAAGGATTACTCTGCAGCATCCGGTTGTTTTACAATAACATTACCACCTATAATGTTATTAATATTTACCTAAATGTTGCCATCAGTAATGAAATCTTTTAGAAAACCTGTGTTTCATCCTTAAACTGAATAGGCAAAAGGATAKATTTATTTCAAAAATATCAAAGAAAAGTGGAATAAATGTCATCACCATGTAAATCCCCTGAAGCAACGTGCTGGTGATGTCATGAACAGTTACATACAGTAGTGGATCAGGCTGTGTGCCTCTTATTTGTTCCTGTCTTCTCCCGCTTCAGTGATCAAGCTGTTTTTGCCATTGGAAATCTTGGTTTCTTAAAACCTAGAGTGGAAATGAAAGAACGGAGAATGAGGAATTATGTGTCACTTAGCCTTATGTATTATTACTTTGATCAGCAGAGAAGCACTCTGTGACTGTTAGCATATAAATAAATGAAAGGCTGAATTAAATACTCTATACAGTATGCTTGTGCAATACTAAATTTCCTTTGGGCATTGTTAATATGTTTTAAGAATATTGTTAAGCTCTCCTGTTCTTATTTGTTTGTTTGGTAGGCAGGATACAGGCTAGTAACTGTTTTGAGGACAAGAGTCATTAATGTTGTATGTACAGGAGTCTTGTGGAGCAATTAAAATAGGAAGACAAGTAAAAGCATGTGTTTTTTATATGGTTGAAATGCTGAATACTTACACTATGTCAGATCAAGAAGGACTTTATTAAATGTGGAAATATAACATTTACTGATCTGGAAAATAAAATTTAAGAGCATAGATACTTGAAAAAAGTAAGGACGTACAGGTACTTAGCATGTAAGTGTACATGCTTAGCATATTGTACACAACAAGAGGTTTTGATGTGTAAAGTACATTCACTGTTACTGCAGTCACTGCAGACATAGGGTGTCGCCACTTGCCTTGGTATTTTGCAACTCTGTACAGTAGCAATGAGCCACTCCTGAGACCATACCCTAGTTTTCTACTTACTAAACACATTTGTAAGCATCTTCTTTTCCTAGGTCATTTATATCTTACAAGTAAAGAAAAAGCCTTCTGCTGGTTTATCTCCTAAGCTATATAAACAGGGAGCTGGATGAGCACCATTGGAGCAGGGACACTGATTCACTCTGGTGGATCCATGTAGACCAGCACTTTGGCAAGTGTGTCTGGGCAGCWAGAATAGCATGTTACTCATTTTTAATCAGGAAGATGATTGTGTTTGTTTTGCCTCTGGCCTGTTTGCAGTCCTGCAATTAAAAACTGAACCTCAATTCTATCTTAATTCTTTGCCTTTATTTTGCTCTTAAGCTTGTGTAGTTTYGTGAGGGCAAGGCTCATTGTGGGGCAATAGAGTGCATTTGGTTTGTTAGGTTCTCAGAGGTGGTGAATCCAAATCAAGTCCTGTRTGCTTTGTGCCCTTTGGGGTATGTTTGTTTCCCAGACTACCCAGAGGACAGGAAATGCAAATGAATGTTGAGTTTTGGGAATGTGGATTTTTGCAAAGAGCAGACAGGTGGAAAATGCAATGTTATTCTGAGTTAACTGTTAATACAGTACACCCTCTTTTTGATAGATACATTTTGGAATGGAATGATAAAAGGAATCACCATACTTTCACTGTTGTGGTACTAAGGGTAGATTTTTGCTCCTTTAATATATATGATCTTTTTTGATACTCAGAATGAAAATTCCTTTCACCTTCAAGGTGTCATTTTCTGTCATCTCATGAATGATTTCTTCTGTTAAAGGCACAAATTTCATGTTTCCTCTCATTCTTAAACCCTTTTACTTTAATTCTTCRTAGAAAGGATTGCCAGCCATTGGAGCAGGCTGCCAAGCAAGAGGTTGAGTCACTGTCCCTGAAGGTATTTAAAAGGCTTATGTATGTGGCACCTGGGGACATGGTTTAGTGGTGGACTCGGCAGTGCTGGGTTAGCAGCTGGACCTGATGATCCTAGAGGTCTTTGCCAGCCTAAATAATTTTATGGGTCAGAGTCCTGTCTCTTGGAAGATAGTTTTCAATTTTAGTTTTTTTGTTTGTTTGGTTTGGTTTCAAATGCCTGTTAAGCACTATGACATATATAGATGAAAGTTCCTTGGAAAATGTGTCTTACTACCCTTATCACAGGGAAAGCTTTCAGAAGTTCTGCTGGAAATGAGTGTTTGGTAAAAGAGGTCAATCATTCAATTGCTATCAGGCATGCAAAGACCTAATAAATAGAAAGCTGAACCTAGAWAGCTTCTGTCTAAAAATAATTTTTAAATCAGAGCTGTCATCCTGTCTAACAACTTCTGGTATGTTATTGGTTATTCTCTGTGGGTGAATATGTTAGCTCAAGACTCAGTATTTATTAARAAATAATAAAATTTGSTCTTGTTCAAGCACAA